AAGTTAAGTGTTACAGAAATGATGATGCTCAGGTGATTGGATTTACCCTTAGAGACAGGATACGAAATGAGCATATAAGTGAAAAGGTTGGAGTAGCTCCAGTAGAAGATATGATTAGAGAGAGTCTCCTTAGATGGTTTGGTCACATAAAATGATGACCTTCTTATGACCCGGTTAGAAAAGTAGATGTATTATATTTGACTTATATTAAGAAAGGCAGATGTAGACCTAAAAATACTTGGTTAAAAATATTAAAAATGATATTTATTTATTAGATTTAAATGAGAAATTGATTTTTAACAGGACACAATGGAGAAAAAGGATTCATGTAGTCGATCCCATGTAGTGGGATAAAGGCTTGATGTTGTTGTTGATACATTGATGAATTACATAAGGAATCCAATGGGCATAAAATAAATCCTGATTTCTCAATATGTCGATCAAGGATGAATCTTGTACAAGCATTGGCCGAATTTTATCATGTTCCTGAACTACTTAGGGTTTTTTTTTTGCTTCTAAAAAAGTAATGCAATGCAAAGTAAATATATTGTATTGAAAATACGTTTGAGTTATTTGGTTGAGTACACCACACATGCAATAATTTACTTTTTTTTAATTTAAAGTAAATAAATGTAGAGTAAAATAGCAGTACATTTAGAATAACAGTTAATCGGAGGTTGTAGACAATGATTGACAGTGGCAGTGGTTGCCGACATCAATTTACACAAGATGTGTATTTGGAATTTGCTCAAATAATTTCAAATTCACTCAAAAAATACTTTGTATTTGAAACACAGACATCCAAACGGTTGTATTTTTAAAACTCCTATTTTTGCTTTACTTTATACCTAAAATGTTGTCGACCAAACATTATACCACCACTACTACTAAATTACATTTTACTAAAAACTAAAACAACAACATGACAATGAAACTGCTATAATTATATTGAGCCTATTTGCCTATGTAATAATCATGCAATTTGAAAATGAGGAGGCTATCCATTTAATCATATCATTTTATTTCAATGTTATCTTTAAAAAAATTAATATTCTCATGTTGCATCACATACCATGTTTATACACCCCGAAACAGCTCATCAATCATTCACTATTATACCTTATTCGTAGTTGGTTATTTGTAATACCCTAAATAAAAGGAAGGTTTTCACCTATATAGTAGAGTCTATTGACCCTCGAGTCATGCTAAGAATTGCTTAGCCTTATCATTCAGAGGGTACTATCGACATTTATATCCATCGATCATTCAAATATATATCTTATAAATTTTATATCATGAGCAATGTGTTTTAATAAATATTTTAAAATTTGTATGATTAAAGTTTGCTATATATCAATAGAGTAGAGGATTTGTTGAGCATGATTAATTTATACCTATCAAACAATGCTCATAAACATCACAAGACAACCATAACAAGTGTATGCTTATCCCATAAAGAATAAAGAGTTGCCCACTTGATAGAGATCATCATCAATATGATATATCGATCATCACTCTGACCTATCTTGCTTCAATACATGGCACTTCATAATACCTAGATTCAAAGGAATCCATATCAACTATACATTCAATACAATGGGTATCAAAAGGTTAAAAAAATCATAACAACCAATTTACACATTCTTATAATCAACAATTTTTAAGTGACACACAACAAAATAATCATTAATATCTTCATCTATATTAAACTTTTTCCATTAACCTTTATTTATAATAATCAAGTGATTTTGTTAAAAAATAATTATAAAATATAAAGCTAATTCTTTTAAACTCTTATTATCAATACACAACCTTATACTCAATGAAATTAAAAGGATAATAATAATTTATTGTTCTCTACTTTATAACATAACTATGAAACCTCTTTATAAATAGTCTCATTATTCATTTACAACTTAGGTGCTATTACGTTTGATGAAAAACGAATGTAGTGCATAATAAAATTAGTTTATTGAAAATATTTTTGAGTTGTTTGATTGAGTATATACAAATTCAGGAGTTTATTTGTTTATTTTTATTTGATTTCAAGTAAGGGAATGCAAAGTAAAATAGTAATGCATTTGGAATACTAGTTGATTGGAGTCGGCGGACAATGAGGGCAATGCCTGACGATAAGTAGAGGTGGTAATAGTTGGCGGTGACCTATGATGGTGATGGTTGAGGGCCTGAGGCCGATGGTGATTGGGGTCTGTGATTGGTGGCAGCAACAACAGTTGACAATAAGGGACGGAGGCTGATGATGGTTGCTAACGATAGGTAGCAACTTGTGATAGGTGGCGACGGGCAGTAGACATCACTTTTACCCAAGCTGTGTATTTGGAATTTGCTCTAAATGGGAAAGATTCTAAACTCAAAATGAACTAGAAGGTGAAGTCTAACTCCCAAAATAATGTGCACAATTGTCCAAACCCATAATTTTTTAAACTCATGTGTTTACTTTACACTCAAAATTCTACCAACCAAACAACTTTCACTATCATTTATTCAAGAATACAAATGTAAAATATCATTTACTCGTGCTTTCTATGATTCTTAACATCCAAGTTTAAAATATATAAAATTATAGTATAAAATATCAGAACCCTAGAATTTTGTGATTCTTAGCTTCTAAGATTTGCTTATATAATCTAGATAAAATCCCTATGCTTGAAGATTATGTAGGACAATTGTAGGTTCATTGCTCCAAATCTTCAATTCCAAGATGATTAACTACATAAATTAAAATACAGGTGTGTGAAATTACTTATTTTTTCTTGGAGGATAGAAATCTATCCAATATTTTTATTAGGCGGGCTCAAGGCTAGCATAGATATAAGGTGAGCATAAGGACAGTTATAGATATGAGGCGGGTACAGGGCCAATTATAAATATTTAATCTGTGTAGATTTGGAGAAATTTTTCATATTTGTAAGGACTTAGATTGGCACCTGAGATCTCTATGTTAGAAATTAGAGAGTATATTGCCTAAGCCAAGACCCTTTGATATGTAAAATTATTCACGAATTAATTTAAATCAATGTTAAGCTGAGTTTAAATTCAAGTTTCATCTTAATTAAGCTCTCACAAATAACCTAATAACCCTAATTCATACGCATAAAACATCATTGTATTAGCATAAAGAAATCTAGGGTTCCGAGTTTACCTAGTTGATCGTAGAATGATGATGAAGTCCTGCTACTACAAGCCTTCAAGTGGAAAGCCCTTGACATAACTTTGCAAAGAACTCGCACAATTGGCTCTGAGCTCCGGCCAATCCTCTTTTCCCTTGGTCTCTCTCTCTTTTTAGCACGTACCTTCATCCTCATATCATAGATCTCATCCTCAGTTCTTGTTTGATTCCTTGCTCTCTTGTTTCTCTTGAACTCAATCTTTTGCTCATTCTCTTCTTTTTTCATTCTGCCTTCACCAGAACCCCCACATGCACTCTCTCTCTCTATCGATTTGGTGCTCTTAATCTTGATTCAAGATTAATACTCATTCCATTTCATTGCCAATTCTAGGGTGGTGGAGCTATGGGTTGGTTCGGTGGTTCATTAACTCAACTGCACCTATCAAACATAAATTCGGGCATTAGGATCTTTGGAGTGCAAAAATCTATTTGCACTAGATTATAAATATGGCTGTACCTTCTTACAAGGCAAAACCTCATTCACAAGCGACAGAAATTATGGTATGAGAATTTATTCGTATGTGCACTATGATTTCACATTTCAAACATTACATTTACAGTACATTGCAAGTATAGTTGATACTCTTCATGCCTAACAATTACAAAGTAGACTTACTTTAAGTATAGCAACATAAAGGTGTGAAGTTCTGCTGGACTATACCATACTCAATGGATGTAAATTTCCAAATTGGACAACTTAATCATCTTGACAAACAAAAACATTACATGATAGAATGCATGATGTCACCTTAGACATCCACACAAACAAACAATTTACTAATAAGCAAACTTAAATTCAATTAATATAATTAAAAAAAAATTCGAGCAGCAAAGCCTCTGGCATAGTATATTCAATACAAATAAACATTAAAAGTATGAGAAACATAACTTCTCCACATTTTAAAAGAATGAGATTTGCCAATCCTCAAAATCTCACTCCGTAATCCTTAATGCATATAAAAGATAGCAAGATATGAAATTAATCACATGCACCTTACATTGAGAAGTAAGTTTTAACTTCATATTAAATCTCTCCTCTCCCATTGATCCTTGTACAAACAAAACACATCAAGTGATTTTTCTCATTATGAAAAGAACATTACCAATACGAGCAAAACAACATTAAGGGGGTTTAAGGTTATAAATTGTTCACCTTAACAACTCGAAGTGAGGCTTGTTATAAAATCAACACCATTTCATTGCATAATCGCCACAATCTTTACAATCATTATAAACTAAGAATTAGCCCAAGCCAACTACTCACTCCAGCTTATAGAGTTAACATACAATAATGTAAGTACATTCTTACCTCATATCAACATATATCTAACTTTAAATGAGTAGGTAAGGAATTTCAACTAGACCTATGTTTTACTCCACTTTTTTTTTTTCCTTCTTCCAACTGAACACCACAAATTTCAAAACTTTTTCTTTAATTCTACTTTACACTTATAATAGTTGCAACCAAACAACCCTTTAGATGTGGGCTGGTATGAGAGACTGACATTGTACTGTTATTGATAGACATTCCTTGGGTCATTCTTTTATATATACCATTATGATGCAAATGCTTATTTTTTACTATGATTTCTACTTGCATTGATTAGCAGGCTAACTATGACCTCTCTTGATAATTGTCTTGTTCAATAAATTGTTGGATGAAAGTAAATCATTGGTGCATACAGATAATTTGTTGATTTAGCGGTTTTAATAGTTATTATGTATGTATTTCTTGATGTTTGTGTCATGTTCATTGAGCACTTTTTATGAAATAGGCCTGCATAATCTCAAATACTCTTCAAAATTTCAGTTATAGCTGGAAATTGGGAGGAGCTGGGAAAGACCGAGGGAAACATGGTAGAAGAGAATGTCATAAAAAATCAAGAACAGTGGAGGCCGTGCCATTGTGAGATATTCTCGCCAGAGTTCAGCCTTGAGGTAATGACCCACGTGCCTCAGTTCTCTCTTCGGAAGCTTTTTGTATGGTTCATTCATTGGAAGTTCCATTCAATGCTAACTGCTGGGCATTGGAGTTTTATGTCTGGATTCTAACCTTAGAATGCTTTTACTGGCTGGATGTCTCAGCTATAAATCTTGAAATTAGACTCTACTGCATTGTATTTTAACTTGGATTCTTTGTCAAATTGTTTCCTACCACTTGTAAGAGGCTTTATTGTCTCTTAGGGCGTGAGTACGTCTTAAGCTCATTTCTTCATTTGAGGTGACTTTTAAGACATCATTCTGTTCAGATTAGGATTCTTGATTGCAAGCTCAAGGTGCTTGTTGTTTGTATGTTCTGTTTGATTTGGTGAGACTTAAGCTGAAGTGTTTATATGCAAAGTAATTTTGTTTTGTTTGGGTCATAGAATCTGCACAAAGTAAATTTGGTAAAATATGTTGCATTTATTTTGCAAGGGGTTATTTGCACGAACTAAATTTGGTCAAAGATAAATTGTGTGCCATGTGTAGTTTATCCTGGGTGATTTTATCAAATGAGTTAATTCTATGATATCAATTTAAGAGTATGACATATAAAGAGGGGATAGGGGCTGAATTATTATTTGCAATTAATAGAAATAAGTGCAAAATTAACATTATAAATACAAATAAGTAAAAGGGCAATTAAAAGAGTAAACAAGTTGACAACATATAAAATAATTATGTTATTCAACTAAAACCAGTCTACATGGACACCTAATTCCTTCTCAAATTAGTATTCCACTACTCAGACTTGCTACCACAAGCCTAAACTCCGTTCTTCAAGCAGATCAAGAACATCACAACCTAACAAATACACTCTCCTTAACGGGCAAGTGCAAATAAAAACTAAAAATACTAGATCACCAAGTCTTTCCATGACATAACAAAAGGAAACAAAAATGAACTACATATTTTGATTTTTTGGTGTAACCAAGTATTGTAATAAAGGATGAAAAATGAAAAATTAAAGAAACCATGCAGCGTTTGATGATCATTGTGCACTGAAATTTAGCTTGCAAATGAATGATCTTTAAAGGCTCTCAAGCTTTTTGGGAATGAAGAATTCATCCCTTAGAAATAATGACAATGTTCTTCAAGAGAAGTGCTTTAGAGAGATCGTGGCATAAAGGATTTTTATAGCAGTTTCACTAACCTATTCATTTGAGAATTTAGGGTTTATATAGACTCGATTTAATCACCAAAATCCATTAAAATGTCTTAGTAAAGCTCCCTTTTTTCAAATTTACCATTTTGGTCAATAAACTAGCATTAAACTACTATTCACCTTATAGGCTGATTCAAATGTTACCAAAACACCCAAGGTTATAAGACCATTGCTGCTTAGATGCTTATTGCCTCGAATTTAGGGGTCAAAATGGATTGACGCGTCAGGTTCAGGTCTGACCCGAAATTGGCTTGACCAAAATTCAGTTAACCCGAATCCGACTGCTACCAACCCGAATTCGACTGCTACCAACCCGAATGCCTCGTTAACTCATTTTGGTTATTTTTTTTTGGTAAATTATTAACTATAAAGTTTGAAATATTTAATAAAAATAAGAAGATTATACCAACAAATTAAAAAAAATAAGAAAAAAGTATATTAAATGTGTCATTTTTGGGTCAAAAGCAAATTCGTGGATCAACCCGAACCCGACCCATTTAGTAAACTGGTCAACCTGAACTCAAATTTTTTGAGTCGGGTCATTTATTGACACCCCTACTCGCATTCATTATAAGATTTAGTGGAAGGTTAGTTTGGTTATTTTCTTGAACTTTTTTTCAATCTTATATTTAAATGATTTTGATAAATACTTATATTATATTTATACGGTTTTGCATGCAAAAATGTGATGCATCTAATGTGAATAAAATTACAAGCTATTTTTGCAATTATAAAATAATTATATATTTATTACTATTTTAATCTTAATTAAACCTTAATTAGTAAAAATTAATAAAATTATTGATCAAATTGTTTTGTAAATTTTTTCTAAAATCTATTTAACTAACTTGATTAAAATATAGAATATTAATATAACTTTGAGTAATTAATAGTATTTACTTAATGGATTTCCTAAAGAGAGCTTGGACCCAGGAATAATCATCTAGCAGAATACAAAACTAATTTTTCTATTGCCACTAATAGACTATAAATTACTCTTTCATCTTCTCTATCATCTCTTGAGTTTGTTTTGAGTTTCTGATGCTTCTCTCGTCATAGGATTTGTCATCAATTGTCTTGAATCTTACACCCAAGTCCTTGCAATCTTTAAACTTGGAAATGTCATCATATAGCATTAGTTTCTTCCTCATATGTTTGTATCATCAAAATAGATTCACATACACTATGGGATCATAGAGTCAACACACTTCAATTAAAGCCACGAAAGATGAAATAACACACAAATGATGAGGTGAATTCACTTTCTTCACTTTAGTAGGATGTCTCAAGGATTTTTGAGCTACAAGTTTTGTAGCATTTGGATTGATAATTTCATGTTGCATAAAGAGAGATTAAGAACACGAAGAGAACCTCAGTGATCAAGTGAGAATATTCATGATTTAACTTGATGAATGTCACAGTCACAAGGGTACCGACATTACATCAATTAGTCATTTATGTAAGATATGAGAGAGAAAAAGACAAGTGAATAAGGTAAATTAATTGAACTTAGAGTTTTTGGTCCTAGACTGTCTCCAGATTTTTTTTTTTTTATTTTGAGAGCAAAAATTTTCTTAAAGATTTGTTTTCAGAAAGAAGTCTTTGATACCAAAAGTGCTGGTCTCCAGCCTAGAGCAAAATGGTTGAGAGTTTGCACAAGTGCAAAATTTCTTTCTATAAAACATGTTTCTTCTGTACTTGTATGTCCTCTTTAAGAAATGTTTTAGCTCTGCCCCAGATCCTTCGTTTGTATCATGCAGATGGGATGAATATTGACTTGCTTTCGTTGTATAGTTCATGCAGATGAGTTCAAGTTCAAATAGATGATGTCAACTGATTTTTATGACTTCATGGTCATTACACTTCGGAAGTTTCATCAGGGAAAAAAAATGAACTGTTGCTAATGATTTGTTATATAGTTTATTGTTGAATTTGAACATGGGTTTATCCTTCAATGTCCTATGAATTTTCATACTGTTTATGTGTGTTAGTTGAGCATGCATTTGATAGGAAACACATGCAGAAATTGAAGAAACCTTGGCTGAAATTTGGAATTTCAGAAAATTCAAGCAGGATTTTGAGATAAATCCCCAGGCAAAATACTAAGGAATTTGGCAATTGATAAAAACGAAAAAGAAAACAAACAAGATAGAATGGATCTTCAATTCGAGAGGAAGATCCGGTTCTCCCAAGCCCTAGTCGGTGGCTAGAGCCTAAACACCTAAGAGAAATTCAGAAATCAACAAACATCTCCCATAACCCTAACCCTAATCTCTTCTCCCCTATTTAGAGAATAAAAAATAAAAGCATAACTACTAAACAACCCCTCCCTGAATAACTTCCCTCATAAACTACCCCCCTCCCATTTGAATTTTCCAGCAATGCATGGGCCCCACAAAGGTGGGCTGGCTGCTCCCTGTTCCTCTTGGAATAGACCAAGAGCCGGCCCTAGTGTTGGGTCGGCTGGATCGGTCCATCCTGGACCGGTTTATCAATACCCCCTCCCAAAGAATCACATTGTCCTCAAGGTGGAATGACGAAAATTTGTGTTTCATATGCTCATACGACTCCTAAGTAGCGTCGCACTCAGGTAGGTTTTTCCACTTAATTAGCACTTACTTCCTCCCTCCCCTGTTGTATTTCTACCAACTCCAGCGATTCCAGAACCACCTTCAGGTCCTTTGTCAGTGTCACTGGTAACTCTGCAACTGAGGTGCGATCTCCTATAGCTCTCCTCAATTGTGACAAGTGGAATATCGGGTGTATGGTCGTGGTCGGAGATAGCTTCAGTAGAAACTCTACGGCTCCGATCCTCTCTTCTATCTCAAAATGGCCAAAGTATCGCAGAGTCAGCTTCTCATTCCTCCTCTAGCCACTATCCTCTTCTTGTATAGACGAAGCTTCAAATACACCATATCCCTTACCTCAAACTGAATGCCCTTCCTGTGCTCATTAGCCTACCTTTTCATAAACTACTGGGCTCTCAACATATGTATTTTCAATTCCTCTAGTATCCTGTCCTGCTCTTTCAAGTACTGCTCCACTAAAAAGATTGATGTGTCACTTTGCCCAAAGTGCAACAAGGAGGATCCCTTTCATACAACACTTTGAAAGGAGTCATCTAGGACGTTGAATGGTACGAAGTGTTGTACCAGTACTCTGTCCACGCCATCCACTTAGCCAACAGCTGAGGTGTTTTTGAAGCAAAGCATCGCAGATATGTTTCCAAGATCCTGTTAACCATCTCGATCTGCCCATCAATTTGAGGGTGGTAAATGGTGTTTTTCTTCAGCACAGTCCCCTGCAACCTGAACAACTCCCTCCAAAAGTGACACTATAGACTCTAGTATCCCTTGTAATTTGACCACCTCTCTAATGAAAGCTGATACCACTGTTACTGTCATGTAAAGTTGTCATAGAGGAATGAAATGAGCATATTTTCTTAGTCTGTCCACCACCACCATAATATTTATAAACCCCTCTGATCGTGGTAGCCCGTATATGAAATCCATAGAGACTTCTTCCTACACTATGTCTGGAAGTGCCAACGACTGTAGTACCCCCCTTAGAGCCATAGCCATATACTTGTTCCTCTAGCAAATCTCACACTTGGCCACCATCTCCTCTGCATCTTTGTGCATCCCCTTTCAATATAATTCAGTCGCCAATCATTATACACCAGAGTTACCCTCAATAGTGCTCCCGTGGAGCTCCTATAGCAAGTGCGGGATATAAATTGAGGTTTCTGGCAGCACAAACCTCCCTTGGTATAGAGTCTCTCCCCATCTACTGA